TATTTTAATATTTATTTTCTGTTATTTCATTTTCTTAGATTTAAGGTGTTTACATTTGTGTATAATAATTTTTGTTTTTTCTGGGTTTCTTATTTTAGATTTTGTCCAGGTCATTTGCTTGACTCTGGAATTTTTTCTTTAAACATTTGTTGTGTAATTTATATAATTTTAGCAATACGCTTGCTAACATTATAACAACGATTATCATTAACAATATTGTAATTGTTTGAAGATCGATTTTTTTGGATTCAATTTTATTAACGACATTTGCCGTGGAATCTAGAACTTTTATGTCTACTAAACCCATTTTAGATGTTGTATATATTTTTATTTTTTTTAATTTCTATTTTATTTTTCTCTGAGTCATATTTTGTAATGTTACTTAATTTTTCTGGGAAATAATAGTCAGAATCATTTATTTGATTTGTTTTACTTATGCTATTACTTCTCATTAAATTAAATTTTTTTTTTTTAATCTGAGTTTTTATCTAACATCTTTTCCTACCTATTATTTGTACAGCTATACGGGCCATACTTTCAAATTGGGCAAAAAAGGTTCCGCTCAATTTTTCAAAAAATATTATATTATATAAAAAAAATATGCATCGCAGTGCAATCAAAAAAATTATGCAATGCAGTGCATGGGTTAAAAAAATTTTCTGCTCAGTTGATTTCCTTTTTTTTTCCACGTCAGCTGGTCGTCGCCGGTTTGGCTACGCTGACGTTCCCTCGGTGGCGCAGGAGGTGGCGTATTCCCGCACTATATTTTCTGCTGCTGCTGTCCGGGGCCTTTTGGAGTCAGGTGTTACCGGTGCCGGTCCTCGCACAGGTGTGGTTGCAGTGGGGGCTGTCCAGTGGTCCAGGGCAATCCTTCGGGCACGTCTTTTTTAGTTTCGGTAATGGCTTGGGTGATGGAGGTTTTGTTATTATTTTTTCATTAATTTTCCTTATCGGTACTGAGTGAGTGGCGGCAATCTTTGGGCATTTATTTTTGTTACTCATTAATTTTTCTTTCAGAAAATCTAGTTCTGATTGAAGTTTTTGGACTGTAGCCCACGCGGGAGGTGGAATGTTTACGTAGAGTAGCCACTTTAGGTGTGCTACTCCTTTTTTTATTTTTTCGCAACTCCTCCGCGATTGCCCATTGCTTTCACTCTACACACTCAGATTTTTTTTGTCGATTTATTTTTCATGTTCATGATGTCCTTCCAGTCCTGTCACGGTCGCCATGTGATAAAAGGATAATACCCAAGGGTTAAGTTTGGTTGGTTTTTATTTGGAAGGAGCAGCTGAGGTGCCGCTCCAACGATCAAAATGTCTCTGTCTTTTACAATATTTCTTAAGTCTAAGTAAGGCTAAGTCTCGTAGCTGCGCTGCTCGCAGGCGGCGGCAGAGAGACGGCTATGTACTTACATATGTATAAAGGAATATAATAATATACGTTGTTATGCGCTCTCAAGTGGAGGCGCGAGGGGTATGCATATGCTGACTGTTTGTTACGATTATGCTGACACTAGCACTGTATGCGGGCTAAGCCAGAACGATCGGTTCGTATTTCGGCCACTTAGGGTTTATGACCGGGACTTTGGATTATGTAAACACTGCAACAAAGTGTTACAGTGCGCACCCTTTAAGTACTCTCGGTACAGTGGGTATTCAATATATGTGCATACTACAGGGCAAGCGGGACCTTCCTGTAAATAATTGACAATATACTCGCAGTCGCTATCATCCTCGATTACGCTCAGAGCGGCTGCAGCCTTATCCTCGTAATTGGGATTACATTCCGCGCTAGCGGGTTGCTCGATGTTCTTGACGCGCTGGCGCCTTCGACCGGACATCCTCTGTGAAGAGTTTGGCCTATTCGGGGTCTGCGGAGTCGGGAGATGTGAATTGTATCCCTGCCTGAAATTCGACTTTTGCCTAAATCCTTAGGACGACGGATCTACGCATATTGGCACCGTAGCTTGATCCGACTTGCCCTGATCTACCCAATCTCTCTGTCTCCGCCACGAATCCTTACTTTGATTCCTGCCTGGACCGCGATCGGCATAGAAACTTTTTCCTTGTTTCTCAGACGCGCGGCCCTGGCCCTTATGGAAATCTGTACTTTGATTTCATTACTCGACCACCTTTGCACACGTGGCCACGAAAATGGTCCGCTCGATACTTGCCTCTGCCTCTCTAGCTAATGCTAATTTAAGACCCGTCGCAAATACATGCGTCACCCCTAACCTCGGTGTTGAGGAGCGTGGCTCTCTCCGTGTCGTATGTAATGACAATCTTATTTATTACGAGCGTAAGCTTTCGCTCGACCTCGTCTTAATATTCCATTAGGCTTCTATCCCCTTGACGGACTGCCTCAAGCCCTTGCCGAAACAACCGCAATGAAGACATATCTGCATGAGAGCAGTCTAGCCTAGCCAAAACTAAGGACGGTGTACTAGCAAGGCCGTTTCATTTCCCTATATGGGCCCCGAAAGCTCATCAAGACTGAGCTAGGTGGTTGACACTTTACATTCACAGAAAAGACGAATATTGTAATTCTAAAATTCTAAAATATTATATTCAAATAGTTTTTTTCGCTTTAGTAAAATTTTACTTCAAAAATTCTTATTAAATATTCATTTTAAAACTTCAAAATTTAATTTAGTCTTTATTCATTTATTAATATGCCTTTATTCTAGGTATTTATTATTTGTGCAAAATTAAAATAAAAGACAAAAAAATTGTTCTAGCCTGTGTAATTCTCTCTTTTTTTTGAAGCCATATTAAATCAAAACAGCCCACTTACAGTTTCTCCTTGGGGTCATGAATTGTTTTTACAGTTGGGTAAATTAGGTTAGGACATAACGGGAGTCCCACGTCAATGTCGCCGTGGTGCCGGGGTCAACGTCCGGTGAGTTATGTCACGGGGCCGGCGGCGCCTACGTCACACGCGGTCTCCTGGCCGATGATCGCCAGGTGCATATGTCTTCTTGGTCAGCGGCGGGCGCTCCGTGATGCGGCCCGTTACATCGATTTATCTGCCAATGTCGGCAAGCCGACTGCGCACCCACGGAGAGCCCAGATTGTGCGAGCGCAGGTACCCGACGTCTTAGCTTCATGACCGCTAAGCCCTCGCTGTTTCATCCGGATATCATATTGTCTGGTAGTGGTATTGGTTTTACTTGTGGGTGTCAACCTAGGGCAGGAATACATGGGCAATGCAATCGGACCGACAGGCTCTATTATTTCATGCCTATATTAGGCTTTTTACGGGGACAATGGGTGTGATCGATTAATCTAGATTTTAAATATTCATAATTAAAAGTGGCTGAATTCATAATGTTAGGCCTAGGAAGTGTGATCGTTAACGTTGCACTTTACATGAACGTGAAGGATCAACCAGCTAGTTATCTTTTGCCTTATTTACTTCATGTGGCGCCCGCCCGCCTCCCGCCTCCTTAGCAAGTTTAGCCATTTTGGGAAAATATTAATCCCGAAGGACTTGTTTGACATTATCCTGGGCAACCCTGTGGGCGCGGTTGTGCTCGCATGTAATTTTCTCTTTCTGCTCGCTTACATCCGTGATGTCGTTCACAAACTTCTTGCAGTGCCATAACTTGGTTGCTGGAAATTCCATGACCAAGACATGTAAATGCACGCCAATATAGGGAGGTCGCAGTAAATGGCGGTCACTACATTTATATTAACAACTTCTGTAACCAAACCGAGCAACAAATCTTTGTTATCGAAGTGTATTAAGTGTCGGTTTGTGCTCCCGAACACTGCAAAATGTCGCCGAAAGCGAGAGCTCACTGTGTGCAGTGGCTACATCGAAATGGGGTTCGTTTTGCATGACTTTTATATTTTGTCGGGACATAGCGTCGGTTACAAAATTTTCCTTTCCAGGCTACACCTTTGCGTTGTGCTCTTCGATGAACGCTTTCTACCGCTTACTCTTCGCGTTGGCGTTCCGCTCAGACACATCGAAAATGAGCGGTTGATGGTCCGTAAAAATTCGGATTCGCCAGGTGCATATGTCTTCTTGGTCAGCGGCGGGCGCTCCGTGATGCGGCGCCTTCGCATGTGACCGGTTGTAGGGCGTCAGTTAGACGACTTTGAGGAATATGGTGGAAGGAACAACCTTTGTTGTTAGTGGCCCTTAAGGCATACAAAAAAGGGATACAAAAGAAGACTAAAACTAAGAGCTAAAGCAATCTAAGCATTGTCTCCGAGCCAGCAGAGCAGCCTTGCCAAGCCTTGTTACATCGATTTATCTGCCTATATCGGGGTCCAAAGAAAAAGCTTAAACTCTTCTGTATGTCGGCAAGCCGACTGCACACCCAGGGAGAGCCCAGATTATGAGAGCGCAGGAACCCGATGTCTTAGCTCCATTCTAGGGTGACCCAATAACCACCAGGGAAGGGTACGACGGATAATGGAATGTTTAATTAAATTAAAAATTTTTGTTCCTCCCAAACAGCAGTCTATCGTCGCCGAAAGCGCTTTCTTCGATGGATGATTAAAAGAAATTGGTGAGTGATGAGCTCAAAAGAGCATTATTACCCCATTTAAATAAAAAATATTACCCCTATATGAAGGTTTCTATGTTACTTCTAATTATTATTAAATTTAATATTATATTAATTAATTTAAATTAAACCTCTTGATGAATTCAGTTACAAAACTAAATAAAGTACTAAGTCGACGCGTACGTTCGCTGGGGCCCTTTGTGTTTAAAATCTTAAAATCTTAAAATCTTCCTGTCCTCATGCAATACTTACCCTAAATACTCAACTTCGAGCAACTGCTTTGCCTAATTTTAATTTTAATGTGTCAGGACTTTCTGTTCATTTTATTAATCAAACTTCAATATTTTATATATATTTTTAAATTTTTATTTGTTTTTACAATTATTATATTATAATTCATTGCATGTCGATTCCAATATATATTTATTTACCCCCGATTTTAATTTCTATTTTTAATATTATTAATTCGCCATATTTTTAATAAATATTTTTATAATGTTCTGACCTCCTATTTTTTTGCCACAGTTAGCATGAAACTTATGTAGAGAGGGGTATGTAGGCCTAAAAAGGGATCATTAACAAATGGAAAAACAAAAGAATATGATGGCCATAGTTAGGGCGGGCCAAAGACCTGCTCAGTCATCGGAGGTATACTGAAACCACACTTGGACTAAAAGAAACCGATTTTCCTCTCCCCTACTGTAGTATGAGTTCTCTACTTCCGGTTTAAGTTGGCGTGCCTTTCACGCGAATTTAAGTATTAGTAAAAATAGGCATATCTGAAATCTACATCAAGATCACCATCCCCTCATTGCCGACAAGCAGCAGCCAGATCATCGCTCGCGTGCGCTCAGTTTCATACATTTCCATCTCGCCTGAAATCTACACTATTCGTGATTGGTTACATATCCAAAAGAACTTTTTAATATTTGCTCTTCGTGGCCTCAACTGGGATACAAACCTACACCTTCCCTCTTATAAGGGTATACTCTTACTAATTAATTTGCCATCCCTTACTAATCATAGGACGATGCTTGGTGTCGTCTTTGTCAATAGACTTCTGAAGGATAAAGTTAATAATCTGGCCCTTTTAGGTTGCCTGAATATCCACGTACCACTTAGGATTTCTAGAAATTATATTCCTCTATCTTTAGAGCATTGAACTTTGCCCAACGAACATAGTACCCGAAGGGGTTACTATGTTCGAACTACAATAATCTTTAAAACATTACCCCTAACTATTTTCTTAACATTTTAAAAATTTCGTTACTAATCTATTTAGCACAAAACTAACTTTTCCTCGTATCTTTATAAATCAACTTGGGTCTATCCCCATATTCCGAGGTGTACGTCAGACGGCTGCGCTCCTCGAAATATTTCTCAACGCTGAACCTCAAGTCTGGCTATCTCCAAATGAGGCTCACAGAACGAGAAAGAAAAAGCGTCGTTCTCAGGAAATGGTAAATATGAGTTTAAAAGACTTCCGTTTGGGCTCAAAATCGCAGTCAGCATTTCTCAGAGGACCATCGATGACATCATACGAGAGCAGATCGGTAAATTCAGCTTTGTTTACGTTGACGCCGGAATTATATTCTCGGAGCTCGAAAACTTTCACTTAAACACGTAGATTGGGTTTTAAATGTAAACATGAGAGTGTCGGTAGAAAAGTCAAAGTTCTTAACAGTTTGTCGACAGTTAGTAGACATATATCACTAAACATTCCGGTACAGTTATCTGAAACCCAAAAACAAATGTTTCAGAAGGTTCGAAACATATGTGCATCTGACGACATCATGCTAAGATACCCCGATAAAAAAAAGGCATTTGGTCTAGCGACAGATGTCCCAAGAGAGAAGATTATCTCAAGGACATTTTAGGACTATGCTACTGTTGGCGAATTAAGTGAACTGTATTTCTTTTCCCTAGGATTCGAGTTTATTTCTTAATTATAAGCGGGCTTACAAAATGTTAAGCGGGACAGGTTGCGAGCGAGTAGAAAACAATATATTAAGCGATGCAGGATGCAAGCGGTTGCGAGCGAGTAAAAAAACTATGTATATATTAAGTGAGGCAGGTTGCAAGCGGTTGCGAGCGAGTCAAAAACTATACAATAACTGCCGAAAAAACCTGCAGAAAAAATAATGCAGAAAAACGCGTGATACTGCAATACTATGATGAGCATTTAACTAGGTGCGATTTGACAATAATACAATAATGATAAATGACCAATCTATTCTTCAACATACCAGCCCCCCTGAACGACGGTTCAGTTCAAAGGAAGCACAAATTCGTAATGGGGCGCTTTGACCTCTGGCAGTTTTAACGGTGACCACACGGACCCTCTGATCCTGCCCAAGATGATGTTGTACGACTCGTCCCAACACAAGATGGCTATCTCTAGCAGGAAGACTATAAGTCCCAGTAGCGTGGAGAAGGTCCACGCTGTTTCAATATACCAATGCAGACGCTCGTGCGAAGAATCATGGACCAGGGAAATACTGTGCAGATTACACACCGTCTCGATGTTTGGCAGGATACAGGTGCTGATCATCAGGGCCAGCATGTGCACCGCCACCAGGAGGGTGGTGCAAATGGCGAAGGCTATCAGCAACCCCGGTGGTACACTTGTGTCGGGATCCAGTTGCACTTCCACCATTGCCACCATGGCAAATCCCGAGAGCAGGGCTGATATCTTATTGGAAGCCTTGAGCTTGGCCCGACTCAGCTGAAGTTTCCTCCAGGATAGGTACGTGGGCGAGTAGAGATCCTCGCCGGACTGCGACATGCTGCTGCTGGCGGTGCGGTAATGTCCGCGCGGCTGAAAACGGTAGGATTGATTCTGTTGGTAGGTAGGCAACTGAAAGGGCGGCGGTGGGCCACCAATGAGGACGATGCTATGGAGGATAGTGGTGCGAGTGATGCTATTGGTGCTACTGCTGAAGCTGCTGCCGCTGAAGCTGCTATCGCTGAAGCCGCGAATGCTGGCGAGCCGTCTCGCTGCGCACTGAAGCGTCTCGTTTGCGGCGAATTCGAATTGAACTGGCTGTGATGGAGGTACCGCGACGACCCACGAAAATTGCACGCTCTGAGATTCCCCAGTTGGTGAGCGGGCAGCTGGGTGGTCTGGTGGGACTTGTGGGGCTGTTGGTGGATTTGACTGAGGTTCGGATTTAGGCGCATATAATCGCCGTAGTCGCCGGTTGCCGCTGTGGCTGTAGCCGCCGCCGTATAGGCATTCACACTGGCCGCCAATCTGGCAGTGGCATGCAGAGCCCTCGCCAAGGCCGAAGGTTGCTGTCGAATTCCCTTACGGTTCGGCTGGGGATGCACCTGTACCATGTCCATGAAAGAGCGAACTAGGGAATCCAAATCTTCGTAAGCGTGGTGAACTTGTGCTTTCGTAAATGGTTCGCCACAATCATTATAACTGCCTGTAATGACCCAACCAAAATTAGTATGTAGTGCTATGGGGTATTCAATACCAAACTCTCGGCGATGTCCATTATAGATGTTCCACAGTTGATCAGCGCCTACTATAACGTCGATTTTTCCCGGTGATCCAAACGTCGGGTCAGCTAACGGTAAGTTGCGAATTTTGGTCCAGACAAAAGCGGTGTATTTGTCATGCTAAGCGGGAATCAAAGAAGTCAGAGATCTCATAATTAGGCCAGAGACCTCCAATGCGGCAATCGTAGTCCTTGAAAGCAAAGTGAAGCTAGCGCGACCTCGGCTAACTCCAGCCGGGTTAGCACCTAATCCAACAACTGAGATGCGAGCATGCGTGCGTGGAATTCCAATCCGTTGCATAAAAAACTCAGCTACCACGGTTATTGTTGATCCAGTATCTAGCAATACCCTATATCAGGTATTGTTGTCACATATGTCAATTACATTAGCGAGAATAGTTGGCAGTAGGGCTTGATTGTTGGCCCTCTCCACAGTATGATGGCTGACAGCAGCAGTATTCATACCAGCATCAGGATCAATCGAAGGAAATATATTAACCTCAGCCGCAGACATATAGGCGGAGGCCAACGGAATCGATCTAGACTCTTCCAGGTGGACAAGCTTGTGATGCTTAGCCTTGCACTGACGGCAAGTGTTCGAAGAATTACAATTCTTGACTTGATGAGATCGACTTAGGCAATTAAAACAAAGCTTAGTATCCCTGGCAAAGGTACGGCGATTTACAACATCCAGGGCTTTGAATGCAGTACATGCGTATATATTGTGCTGTCTTTGACAAGACTCCAAAGTATCACAATGCGCAAAAAGAAAAGCGAATATATAATGTATGGTACACTGCAGTTTGCCCAAGCTTGTTTGATTTCCGGTCCTAGTTTGGATAGCAAAATATAAATTAGCCACACATCGCGGCTGTCACAGTTCACCGCGAGTAGGCCTCGAATACATTCGTCGGCAGAGTCAATTACCTTACGTAACTCTGCGATATTCAAATTGTTAGCGGTTGGCAACGATAGAAATATTGGCGTTGCAAAAATCGTGTAACATAAATGTTTGCGGGTAACGAAAGACTCCCGTCTCCCGTTCCTCACCGTCGATCACAACAGGGCCTACAGGTCAGCACAGAAAGGTGTAAAGCAGGTACATTCGAAATTACCAAAATAGATACCAAAACTGTAAAGACAGGCACTTACTTATCACTTGCATCGACAAGTTTCCGAAGTTTGGCGTCGTGCAACAATCAAATCGTGGAATCGTTAGGCGTGCACCATAGGGTCGCAGGAGCTTAGATTTTCTGGGATCGATTTTAAAAAATAGTAGCAGGAACACTGGATGCCGGTTATATGAAAAAGACAAGATATACAGAGATGCAACTAATAAACGGCAAACAACAGACAGGTGGAAATTAACACTAAAGTTCAAAGTAACATCAATCAAATGACCGCCAAAGAAAATAAAATCCTCATGGTTACAAAAAATTCACAAATCGACGTTGACTATTTACATATATAAAACCCTCCTTACCAGAAATAGAATGCTAATAATGGAATTACAGAACCTTAAATTCGTTAAATTTCAGAGTTCAGTTTACAAAGGTAAAGTTCGCCTGTAAGAAAGTCACAGTATTGCTTGTCATGTGGTGGAGAAGTCTGCACTGTGAAAGGTTGTACCATGTCGCCAGGAGTTACGTTCTGCAAAATTGTGTCAGACACCTCATGCGCCAAACAACTCTATGCAGTCGTTTCGCCGCACTGTGAGACCAAAGTCGACGAAGGCATAATCATTCTTAATGATCAAACGGCCAAAGTCCGAGTAGACAACGATGCTGAAGTCTGGGTGCACGATACGCACCTTGTCACATTTAAAGATTGCGTCTCCATCAAGGAAACCCTCTACGTTAATCATGACACGATCCAAAGAAGAAGAGTTGCAAGCTCCCCACTACTTAACATTACCATTTATCAAGACGATTAATCGAACACGACGTGGAGCTCATTCAAGAGTTCGACGAGGATATAGGGACTAACTTAAAATACTGAGCAGTGGTCGTAGTAGGAATACTATGTTGTGCGATGATTGCCATTGTCATCTCCATTTTTCATTTTTCTCCATCTTTTTAAGGCAAGAAAATCTACGGCCAAGCTGAAAAAAGTCATCACCGAGATAGCGTCGATCGAGAACGGCCGTAATTCAAAGGGGGGAGTAGATAACAAGTCAACATAAACCAAGATTAAACTCCGCCCAAAATTTCTGATCCAACTTTTGGTCCAGATGTTCGTGCAGACGGCAAGCAGTTCATTTTTCTTTTGTTAGCTTTACAGTGGCTCCAAGCTTATTTCGTGCAAAAATAAATCGAAGTTTAAATTTGATACTGCTACTGAACCAGCAGAGATATCAAGAAAATTTAAACGCAGTAATGTTAAGAATGTCGCATATTATTAAAATAATAAACAAAAGAATTTGTCATACAAAAACTAAAAAATAGACGTATTGTCCGAAGAGTGAAGGAAAACCCCAAGCTTTGCACCAATTTTCTTTCAAAATAGATAAATATTTATTGGCATCCATAATTCCGTCAATAAAAACCAAATTTCCGACGCCGGACACAGTCATACAGGCCTAAACCATAGCGTGACCACCGCCGTGCTTAGTCGCTGCTTTTTTGTTTTTTGAATGTAGCTCTGTATTGGGACGCCGCAAAACATATTTCCTTCCATGGGACCCATTTGGATTCGTCCACAAATATAACGTCGTTTCAGACCAAAATAGGACGAGTTTCAAGTTCCCTGGCGAATTTGACGCGTGCCACCTTATTTTTAGCACTAACGAATGTCTTATTTCTAGAAACTCGACCATTGAAGTGGTGGTTATGCTAAGTGCTCCGAAATCTACCTGGGCAATATTTTTTGCAAATTTTCGTTTTCCTTCACTTTTCGGACAATACGTCTCTCCTCGTGGTCATTAAAAATTGTGTTCGTAACATCACGGCCCTTATCTGCCATCCGATTTTCGCAAAAAAGCCTATGGGTTATGTATGGGTTTGTACTAGGGCTTGAGGCAACCATTTCCTGGGTTTTCCCATCCTTAAAATGTTTAAGGACTAATTCTCTTTGCTCAATATTTGTTCGTGGCGCCATAGTTTGAAAATCCACGTTAATCCATAATTTTTGGGTGCCCCCATTCTCGAAAACTTATAAACGTGCTTTTTTTAATATATTTTTACTAGTACTAAGAAAAAAAAATGGATTTAAAAGTTTAGAGTTATTTACCATTAAAGTGCTTGCACGAAATAAGCTTGTAGGTCAGACTTGCCCATTTTTTAGTTTTTGTATGAAAAATTCTTTTGTTTTTTAAATTAGTAAGAACTTTTGTTATTATTTTAATAATATGCGACATTCTTAACATTCTTTTTTTGATATCTCTGCTGGTTTAGTAGCAGTATTAAATTTAAACTTCGATTTATTCTTGAAATAAGCTTGGAGCGACTGTATATCTAAGTTTTCAAGAAAGGCCACAAGCTCGGCTGATAATTAACTCCGGCTACCGCTGTTAAAGATCTTATTATTACTACACTGAGTCTGTAGGCCAGAAGCACAGTCACCCTTCCATCGTAATCTTTGTAATTCATCGACGAATGATAACTAACCGGCTACCTTCCCCGAGAAGGCTGCAAGGAAAATTATTAACACATTAATTTATATGTTTATATATTTCACCTTCACTGGTACTGCAACCAATACTACTCTTGTCAAATCATTCGAAATATGGAATGAGCCCCATGTAAAACTTTGAAGTTGATGGCTGAATTTCGTACTTTATTCAAAAATTGTGTGATAACTTTGAATATGACATTTTTAACAATCGTCTTTTGGAACACCCAATTCAGAGTTGCTCCATTGCTTTGGGTTAGGATAATCGAATTCGCCCTGCAAATTACATTATTATTAAGATTCGTGATAAAAGTTAAAGTTATACCGTTATATGGTCGGGCTCATGCCACAAGTGCCAAATTACCCACCACCACATAGCTCCTCCAACTGTTACAGCTCCAATATTTGTTGCGTTTGAATGCGGCGGAGGAGCATTGCGGTAAGAAACGCTATACATTATGTAAGTTGAAATTATATTTATAATTTAGTATTTTTTACACACTTACACATGACTTTGTCTTTGAATTACATTACGAGCCAAGAACTTTTTTGGAATACAACCGGTTAAGGACCCTAATTTTAAAGCAATATTCATGGTGAGCAAACAATTTTTGATAATTTCTCAACAAAATATTTTCTATTTTAGGAATCTGTTATCGGCCTGATGATAACATTTTTGATTATATGAATGACTGATGCAGCTTTTACACTTATTACATTTTTATACATATTTATTTCTGTAAATATATTATGATTATTATAAAAACTTCTGAGCAAATCCATCATAAATTTTAATTTAAGTCCATATGACACACTTTTCAAATTGTGGGGTTGACTTAGTTGACATCAGTACAAATTGACTGGAGATGCTGAGATTGGAATCTGACACTGAAACCTCGGCTTAATGGATGTATCTCTGAAAAACTGATTTGGGTAAAGGCCCTTAAATAATGAACTTAGGCATACTCATGGAAACGGTTATAGAAGAGTTCTTTATTTGAATTTGTTTATAATTTGGCGAAGTTTTTTATAATTCCCCACGTACCGGACACTACCGGAAGTTTCGTTTGGAATATATTGTAGATAGTGTATATTAAAGAAAACAATTTTAGTTGATGGTTATTTTAAAAATTTTTATTTTAAAAGACTTAGATGTACATAGCAATTGCCCCTCACAAAATACCACCCAATGTTCCATTCGATTGTCAACATAGAATAGGATTTAGATGAAACTTGTATTTTCTGGTTTAATTCGAAGACACAGCTGATGCTTAGAGAATTCAAAGATTTTATTGAGTTTCCTCTTTGCGTATTTGATGGCCGACTGGTATTTTTTAAAATTGAGTAGAGTAAGAACGTTGTAGCAGCTCATGAGCAACTTCCATTTGAAATTTGAGAAGCGGTGGTTAATTTTGTATAGCTCCATGAGCATGTCCGCTAAGTCTACTCCTCCCATAATATTAAGAGTCTAAGACAGCAGGCTTAATGTACACTTTTTCTTTGGGGCTCCATCGCTTGCACATCCCAACTGGTTGATGGCCTTCACACGAAGATAGTAGTTAAACCGACTTGTTATCAAACCATTTGAATACCGAATTTTCAGCCTTTATTTTGTTTTCCGAGGCACATCTCCCTGACACTATTGAGCCGAGCACAGTTCAACATAGAATATTTAGGATTTTGATGAAACTTGTATTTTCTGGTTTAATTCGAAGACAAAGCTGATGCTTAGAGAATTCAAAGACTTTATTGAGTTTCCTCTTTGCGTATTTGATGGCCGACTGGTATGTTTTAAAGTTGAGTAGTGTAAGAACGTTGTAGCAGCTCATGAGCAACTTCCATTTGAAATTTGAGAAGCGGTGGTTAATTTTGTATAGCTCCATAAGCATGTCCGCTAAGTCTACTCCTCCCATAATATTAAGAGTCTAAGACAGCAGGCTTAATGTACACTTTTTCTTTGGGGCTCCATCGCTTGCACATCCCAACTGGTTGATGGCCTTCACACGAAGATAGTAGTTAAACCGACTTGTTATCAAACCATTTGACTCAAAGAAGTTTTTTGTTTACCTCATATTTTGCAGGCATCTGAAAGAATTTTGCATTGCTTATGCGATTTTTGCGGATAGTTCCGGTTGCAAATGCATCCAAGAGTCTAACAGGCGTAAACCAATTGTCAAAATACAGCGTGTAAAGATTGACCATTTGAATCTTTGAATATAATACCAATCCAAAGTCGGGGCCAGTGCCTTGACCAACGTACAGTGTAAAATTATAAACTAATTCAGATATTCCAGTGCTCGTAAACATTTGTGAGGCTTAGATGGATTGTATTGCTTATAATACAATTGGTCTAACAAAAAATTAAAGTTAAATATATAAATTTTAATAAAATTTAAATTTGAATATGCAATAATTTGCTCATCAACGCTTTACTGTTATTCTTTGGGTAGTTTACCAAAACATTCTTTGATAATGTCAAGTAAAGGCCGCATTTTGTACAGCTTACCATAGTGCATATCACCTATTTTGAGACGTTTAGTGTTACCGTTGATATGTAAACATTGCTTGAATTTTTCAAACCTTCCTCGTGGCATAGGATCTGATATGGCAGAAAATTTTAATTGTTTTGACCAGAGAACGGCAAGGGTACACCCAGACAATGAGTGCACTCGAATCATGTGTGCCTTTTCGGCACTCAGAGTGTGATCGGCACCCTAAAATAAGGGTGTGTGCCTTGCACAAGCTCATTTTGAATGTGCACTTGCGCACCCAGTACTCTTTTCAACAGACACCCGACACACTCATAGCAAATGAAGCGAGTGTCTGAGACACTAGAGGTGGAGAAACATCGATGTTCACGGACATCGATGTTTACGATGTTTTTGGCGAAAACATCGATGAAACATCGATGTTTTAAATAAAAAAAAATGTGCAGTTATTTTAATGTATTTGAACTTTATTTTAATTTGTAATGTTTAAAAATTAAAAGTCAAATTTTCAACAAAAAATATCCAATTTATTAATCACTTATTAAATAAAAACGAAAAGAAAAACAAATTAAAATAAAACTGTTCATGATATTCATGTTCTACTTCTTTGGTATATTGTCATATTCTTAGTTTGTAAATAATAACAAAAAAAACAAATTTTATATCAATGTTTCAATATACATACATGATCCAAAGAAAATAATAGTTTTTTTGGATAATGTGATATTCCTACTATACTTACTATTCCGAACTCTACTATATATGTATATTTATACATATACATATACACATACACACATATACAAGTTATTTAATATCGGTGCCGGCTGGCGTTGCCCTCGTGGCAGGGGTAGAGCCGGTTGGTTAGGTGTTGGTGACCACCAAGGATGGCAGCCACTGAAGAGTCGGGTAGTCGCTTCGACTTCCTTCCTTCGTCCGAGTTACGTAACCACTGGTGCCGGCTGGCGGTGCCTCGTGGCAGGGGTAGAGCCGGTTGGTTAGGTGTTGGTGGCGCTCCAGGATGGCAGCCACCGAAGAGTCGGGTAGTCGCTTCGACCTCTTTCCTTGTCCGAAGTTACGTTGGGAGATACTTATCCCCGTTGTTACGGCCCTTAAGGCACAATAACCAAATTCAACAAATAGAATAAATATAACGGCTGAGGCCGGAGTTTTATGATCGAGCCAGTGCTCTCTATTTCAAATCCAAATTAAAACTAAACTAAGAACTAACAAAAGCTCATGCATAGCCGGCTGCCCGCGCAGACGCTGACCTTCACATTTTGCAGAAGTCAAACGATCGCTGTCAGCCAACGAAACGGAGCCACGGCTCGGAACGGTACAATGCGCTGGCTCAGCTTAGGGCCCACAAGGTGGACCCAATTTAGGGTGGACCATGCATGAGAGGAAAGTGTAATAATAATAACAATATAATATTAACAAGGGGAATAAGAATTGGCCTAATCAGCCTAAGCTGGGAGTTGGTTGTTAACTTACACATATACATATGTATCTGTGTATTTATTTACATCTTTGTTTTTGTATAAAAAGAGGAGCTTATCGACAACGGTCGATGATAGCCGCGTGCGACGTTCACTTATAAGTTGTCCAGCTTTACTGAAAACTCTTTCAGATTCGCACGAAGATGCCGGATCGCAGAAGTATTATTAAGCTAACGTTTTATAAGCGTAGCCATTAAATTAAGTTATATATGTACTTACAATTCGCCAATCAATCAATGTGCCTTAGAAAAGAAAAAACATCGATGTTCCTCCGGTAAACATCGATGTTGCCGATGTTTCGAAAACATCGATGTCATCGATGTTCGCATCGATGTTTCTCCACCTCTATGAGACACCCATGTTTTTGGGAAAAGTGAGTCGGGTGTCTTGAAAATGAGTCGAGTGTCTTGAAATGATTCGAGTGTCTTGAAATGAGTCGGGTGTTTCGGGTGTCTTCAGCTGTATTGCATGAGCAGGTCATTGAGGGTTGACCGAATAATTTTACATGAAAGGAAAGATGGAAATCCCAATAATTTTATCATAGAAAAGAATATTTCTAATAATACAAATTATTGCCGTCTTCAGTAACTAATATTAAAAAATAAGAGTTTATAATCATTACAAGTATTTAATGACAAAGTCTTAAAAAACCCAAAAAAAACGTACATTGCATCAATATTTTAGGATTTTCCGTGTTGTTATCAAACCATATACCTGCAAATGTATTCCCGTTTTTTGCAGATGCGTATAAGAATACAGATCATAAGTCAATTGCACTGCGAATAACAGGTAGATGGCCTGACATGGAAAATCCTAAAATATTTGGCCTTTTTTAAGGGGCCATTATTGGGATTTCCTTCCTTCCTTTCATGTAAAATTATTCGGTTAACCCTCAATGACCTGCTCATGCAATACAGCTGAAGACACCCGAAACACTCAGATCAGTCGAAGACACCCGAAACACCCGACTCATTTCAAGACACTCGAATCATTTCAAGACACCCGACTCATTTCAAGACACTCGACTCATTTTCAAGACACCCGACTCACTTTTCCCAAAAACATGGGTGTCTCAGACACTCGCTTCATTTGCTATGAGTGTGTCGGGTGCCTGTGCATTAGGATCATGTGCCTAGAATTGAGCGGGTGTCAAAAACGCAAACACCCTAAACGCACAAAGCGATCTGTGCACTCCGGGTGTGTGCTCTTTTCTTGCTGTTCATGAGTGCGACACACACTCGAAATGTATGAGTGTGATTCGGGTGCCGAAAAAAGACACCCTTGACGTTCTCTGGTTTTGACCAATCCATTTTCAATTACTGAGAACTTGTGATATGCTGGGTTTTAATTGTGTTTTCGGAATTAGCGAATTTATTCACGTCGAAAGGGCACGGTCCGTGCTGATGATAGGGAGTTCGAATTATAGTTTTTTTTTCAATTGAAATTATATTCTATATACAGACGTGATGACAAAAATGGGAGGGAGAATGACGTCCGAATTCGCCTGAGCGAAAAGCTTGATTGGGTCTCGCTTTTCTCATTACTCTTAATGAAACCCATTTATAAACTAACACCGTCTCTTTTGAAGGGATAACGTCCTTCAGGACAGCATTGGTAGGAACGTTAATCTATGAATACCGCGCCGGTAGGTTCCCTCCGCTGTCTTC